GTTATTTCGGAAAATTTGTAGATTTTGTACTCCGTGAACAAAGCATAGTATAATTTTAGAGAACTTGCACAATAATGTCCATTTTTTATTTTATTTACATATTAAGATACCAGTTGAGAACTTTTTTTAAATAATACATGACACACCCAGAGTTATACTGCAAAACTTTTATTAGCTGTGAAATGCCAGAATTGGAATTTTGGACCATATTTGGTCCAAAATTCGTTTAAGGGATAGGATAAAATACATAATTATTGCTGATTACAATTAGGGTCTTCCTTTATTATTATAATAAGAACTAGCAAACTATGCTTCGCGTCACAAACTATATGTCTTGTGTCACGAATTATGTTTTGAATCACGAATTATTATTATGCCCCGCGTCATGAATTATTGCTTCAGAAGACCTTAGATTTCATATGATTATTACTTGGGGCGTTGATTAAATGCCAAGGTTTTCTTTATTTATCATTCAACAAAAATTTATTGATTATAATTTGTTGTGCTGATTATAATAAAAAAACATATGTTAAATTAAAAATAGCAAACATACAGTATATTTTACATAATTGTTCATTTTCTTTAATAGTTATTCTAGTGAGTTTAGCTATTGCAGAAGGAATGTTATTGTTAACCGTTTGGGTCATGTGAGTTTATAGTGTGTCATTAATTTGAGATAAAATAAATCAGCGTGTTACGAATTAATTAAATCTGCAGAATGTAACACGAGCTCATATAACTATTCGGAAAATTAATACAAATGATATAATAATTTAAAAATAAAATAATAGATAAAATAAATAACTAAAAATAAATAATAGATAACTAAAAATAATAAATAAATACAAGTAAATAATATAAATAAATATAGAATAATATGAATGATATTATTCTGGATTTTCGGGGTTATTGATCAGCGAATTAAGGTCAAATTCGCATTCCGGTGACAAAAGCAAGCAACCGAAAAAGGCAACTTCTAATAATGTAAAAAAAATTATATATGACATGAATGATAGTTCACAATTTCGTAACGGGATGTAAGTATGACAGGGTAGGCCAAGATTAATGCTATTGAACAGCGTCAATAAACTTGTTGGACAACAGCTTTACCAACAATTAGTGTCAAACAGCAATAAAATATACAAATGCATTATTTTATAAAACTAATCCAATAATTATAAACACTTGTAATGATAGAAAAAAATAGTTTTTTTCAACTTGTTAATAGCACTGGTTGAAGAAATTGTATTTATTTTTTTTTATTTCTTTCATGATAGGTGTTATACTCTTTGTATTATGTTTTTATTTCTATTTCATCTAATTTATTCAATATATTAAATATATTAAATCAACTTCTTCACCAATGACTTTTCTGGATCACCAACATCCATCAATAATTTTTGAAGTTCGAATTCCCATACAACATCTTGTTTATTTTTCACCAAGAACCTTTCATGATCTAAATCTATAATATATATCCATTTGATATCACTACTACAATCAATCTCTGGAGCTTCGTTGGTTGGAGGTTCTTCAAGGAGCAAATAACCTAAAGATAATGCCTTTTTTAGACAAAGTCCATCTACAGAAAAAAGTCTTCTTAGTAAGAAGGACCATTTTTCTTCTGAAGAGTCATATGTCTTACACATCCAGGTGTAAAATGCTCCTGAGCTACGCCTAATAATGGCTTCAAGGTTTCCTGTCTCATTATCTTTTATATACATGGAAGAACGACATAACCAAGATTCAAAATAAGGCTCGTCTTGTATGATGAATGTTCGAAAATTATCTACAAATTCTGGTGTAAGTTCTGGATATATTTCATCGCACACAATAATACTATTTACCAATCTTTCACGTAATTCTTCCAAACTAAATCCTTGAAGTTGTCTAAGAAGAGCTTCTCCTAACCCTTTAGGATATGAGTCCCAATGATTGTAGATTATATAATATACTCCTTTATACAAGAAGCAATATAAACCTCGAGTTCCCATATTTGTATGTTTTTTTCCCAATTCAAATTTATATAAAATAGGTAAAATAAATCTATTGAAAATAAAGCCGTGTAACTAGGAAAAATTTTTCAGATCGTCAAGTGCCAAATAAATATATTTTTTACATTTATTCCTATATAAATATGTAAATGATGATTAGAACAATAAACAACAACAATAATGGTTATAGTGATGTTATTAAATATTAGTTAAAATAAAAGAGAAATTTATATAAACTATTGAATGATTGATAAAACCTTCGTTAGTATATTTTGTTCATAGATCTTGTCCTTAAAGCTTATTTCGATTACTCCTACACAAACTATTAAATAATTGATAAACGTTTGTTAGAATATTTTGCAAATTGCACATTTCTTTGATCAATGCAATAGTCTATTTATTAAATGAACTTAGCTGTTCGTTGTATTTTTTTTAATAATAAAGATAATTCTCTTCTCATCTGGAAAATTCACGTGATAAAAGATATGCAATAGGATGTTGTATGTGAAATTGCGAAATTGAATATTATGGAGTGGGGTGAAATTCTGATTGGCTAATTTGAATTTCACATATGTGAATTGCGAATTCACGTAATTTCATTTTCACGTACAACAGGACTAAGTGACTTGCACCATACCAAAATGAAAACTCGGCCATTTCACCAAAATTTATTTTTAAATAATTTTTCAAATTTTGGGGTATAAAACAATCAATTTTCGTGTAACAAATTTTCGGGAACAGTTCATTATTATTATTATTATTATACTTGCTTATACTTGCTTTATACGCAGTTTTTGCCCCATATGATTCGTATGGTCTAGAGACCTCCTAAATTTTGTGCAAATTTTAAAAGTATAGAACTCAAGAATTTAAAAATTTAACTATAGAATATGGGAGGGAATTGGACTAGGAAAATCAACCCCTCAGACAAAAAATCTATTTTTAGTATAATTTTTTAATTCCAAGCCCTGTATCTCATTCCTCCTATACAAATAAGATCCAATTTTTCCTCCATGTATAATAAATTAATATTAAATAAGAAAACTCAAAATAAAAAATATCAGCTGAGAGGTTGATTTTCCTAGTCCAAATCCCATATTAAATATGTCTTTAAAAAAAAAAAAATAGTCTTATTTATTGCCGCAAATCATATTTAAAGTTGGCAATATGTTGTAAAAAAATTTTGTATAATCATCATTACTTATTACAAATGAATCTCGGTTTAGCGGTCCTCGATTTAGCAGATACTAATTAAATATCTGGGTTTAACAGATGAAGTTCTCCATAATAAGTCTTAATAAAAGCCTCGATGTAGTGAATTTTTGGAAAATTGCCCAGACTATTCGTTAAACCGAGATTCACTGTATATATTAATATGGGGTTCTTTAGCATTAGCGAAGAATAATACCGGTTTTTGCGACGAGAGAAAATAGTAATTATAATAGTAATAGCAATAGTATAGTAATAACAATGCATGCGCGTATATACGCGCATAGCTTTCTTTTTATTTTTTATCTGATTATTACAAACATGTTGTATAACCATCTTGTAAAAAATGGTTGGTCAATCATTTTTTTAATTATAATTACATATAGTGCAGGGAGGGACATCTATAACGGTCAATGATTATCACATGACTTTAAAAGATTATTAAAAAAGAAAAGAAGAAATAAACTGATAGAATCAAAGATAAAGACTCAAGCTTCATTTCCATCAGTTTACTTTTTTCTTTTTATTAGAAAATTTTGATGAGGCTTCAAAATTAGGCCATTTTATATATTAATATGCTGTGTAAAATTTCGGAATGATCTTCCCTTGATTTCCTAAAAGTTCCAAACGTTTGCCTCACCCCTCAAATCATGTGTTATGTGTTTTTACCCTATTATATATTAATAATTAATATTTCTATATATGGATATTAAAAAAAATGCAGAATAAAATTATTTACTATAAATAACATTGACAAATTCTTAAAGTATCTTTTTTTATTATTAATTCATTGTCCCCTCATTTTAGGCATTATTGTCATTATCATTATTCAGAAATTCGTTTATAAATAAAAAAAGTTCATTATTTTTTTAATCAATAATAACAGTAACAATAACAACAATAAAATTTGATTTAAATCTCCTTTGCATTTATTATTGATGAATATTATATATTTAACTTAATTTTATATAATATATGTCATCAACAAAAAAATTTAAAGGTGAGGATGAAGGTGAAGGTGAAAGTGAAGATGAAGATGTAAATACACTATCATCAAGAACCAATCAACCTTCTTCACCATTATCACACAAATCTGAATCAACAACATCATCAATACAATTGCGAACACTAACTTCAATACCAACTGGTTATAATGCAAGGATAGAAGAAGAGCATCATTCAAGCGAAGGAAAACCATTTTCAACATGGCCAAAATTAAACTATAATATTGATATAAATAATATTGATGACAATGGCAATAATGATTCAGATAAATATTCATTCGATTCATCATCATCCTCACAAGATCAAAAGATAAAGTCATCTTCAAATCAATTAAAAAGAAGCAGTACTATTGGAACATTAATAAATATGAAGAAAAACACATTATCTCACAAAAAATCTTTATCTCATCATATTAATTCTTCATTATCAAGGCGTAGTGATACTATACATCAAGCGGCTCAGAGATTTAGTACAATGATTTTAGGAACTAACATGGATGAAGAGAATCGTCTGATAGTTATAGATCCAGATTCAAAAAATCCTTTAATTGATCCAAGGACAAAAAAACCCTTTATAACAAATTTCATTACAACTTCTCGTTATAATATTTGCACTTTTCTGCCAAAACAACTTTATGCTCAATTCTCAAAATTTGCTAATTTTTATTTTTTATTTGTTGCTATTCTACAAACAATTCCTAATTATTCTCCAACCGGTCAATTCACCACCATAATACCTTTAGCTGTTTTCATCATAATTGCCATGGCACATGAAGGTTTTGATGATTATCGTAGGCATAAACATGATAACGTTGAAAATAATAAAGAGTGTCATGTATTAAACATTTATAAATCAAATAATAATACAAATACCAACGATGATGATGGTTCCAATAATAATAGTAGTAGTAATGATAACAATAATAATAACACTCATCAAAACTTGGGGATTTGGAGGGAATCTAAATGGAAAAATTTAAAAGTTGGTGATTTTGTTTCTGTTAAAGCTCAAGAATGGATACCTGCTGATATATTATTATTACATTCTAAAAGTGAAAATGGTATTTGTTATGTTGAGACTTCTGCATTGGATGGTGAAACTAATTTAAAACAACGTCAAGCATTAAAAGCTACTAATTCTTTACTATCTTCTCCTGAACCTTTGGCTAATTTTAAAGCAAAGGTTAAAACTGAAAACCCAAACCAAGATTTATATAATTTTGATGGTTCAATTGAATTACCTGATGGTAGCACTCACCCATTAACAAATAATCAAATATTATTGCGTGGCACCATTCTACGCAATACCCCTGAAATTTATGGCGTTATAATATTTACTGGAGAAGAAACAAAATTACGCATGAATGCTTCAAAAAATATTCGTACAAAAGCTCCAAATATACAAAGGTTAATGAATAAAATAGTAATAATAATATTTAGTTTTGTTATTGTACTATCTACAGCTTGTACAATTTCATCTGTTCTATGGGATAATGGTATTGGAGGAAATCTTTGGTACATGGGTGAAACTCCTAAACAAATTCAAGTTATATTATTTGGTTTCATAATATTATATAATACAATGATTCCAATTTCTTTATATGTTACAATGGAAGTTACAAAATTAGTTCAAGCTTATTTAATAAATAATGATTTGGCAATGTATCATGAAGAAAGTGATACCCCAGCTGAAGCCAGAACCTCCACAATCAATGAAGATTTGGGACAAGTTAGCTACTTATTTTCAGATAAAACTGGAACTTTAACTGATAATATAATGTTGTTTAGAAAATTAAGTGTGGGCGGAAGAAGTTTTTTACATGATTTAGATATAAGGAAAATTGAAGAAGAAGAAATCTTAAAAATGGCGATGAAAAAAAAATTTTCAATTCGTAATCAAAAGTCAAAAAAAAGAATTTCTTTAGCTTCTATTACTAGGCATTTTAGAAAACAACAAGACCAACAATCAAATGATTTTATTGATGCCAATAATAATGAAAATGGTGAGATGGCACTTGATGATTTTGGATCTGATTGTAATAGTAGTAATATTTCTTTACAAAGAACAGATTCAATGGCAGTAATTAGTAATAGTGTTAAACATAAAAACTCTTTAAAACGTCATGATTCAAGACATAGTGGAACCTTTTCAATGATTGCACCAGCAGTAACTGAACCATCACCATTGTATAGCAAACGCAATTCAATCTCTTCAATTAAATCACATAAATTAAATAAAACTTATATTACTACTGTTACAAATAGTAATGGTGATGGTAACAATAATAATACAGACATGGAAAATTCTTTTGATGAAAATATAAGATCAACATTGGGCTTGTTAGCCATTTTACAACATCAACCAAACACAGCTTTTGGTAAAAAGGCAAAATTTTTTTTATTAGCAATAGCACTATGCCATACTTGTGTTCCTGAAATAGATGAAGAAACAAAAGATGTGTTCTATCAAGCTTCATCACCTGATGAATTTGCTTTAGTCACCGCTGCAAAAGAATTAGGTTATGTAGTGATAGACCGTACAATGTCATCAGTTTCATTAAGGATAAACCATGGTGACCCAAATGGTTTAAAATCAATAAATGATGAACCTAATAATAATAACAACAACACATCTTCAACAAACACTTTTGAAACTTATGAAATATTAAATGTTGTAGAATTTTCTAGTAAACGTAAAAGAATGTCTATTATTTATCGTTTACCAGATGGCAGAATATGTTTATTATGTAAAGGTGCAGATACTATAATTCTTGAACGCCTAAAAGATCCAAGAAATACAACAACTACTATGCCAGTATCAAAAGGTCACAATCATGCTAAAATAATAGAGAAAACTGATATCATTGATAGTGAGGGAAATAATATCAATATAAGTGATAACAACAATGATGATAATAATATTGAAAATATTGGATTACCTAGTAGAAGTCCTTCAAGAAATCTTAAATTAGATACAAATATCTACAACATCAACGCAAATATAATAACAATGACACCAACTTCAATACACTCCATGAACAATTTTGCAACTTCTTCTGTTCCAGTCATTCCAGAGGATTCACCAATTTCTATAAACCATCATGACCATCGTGAAGGATCATATTGTTTTAAAACAACAGATTCAGACTATTCCATTATGGATTCATTTCCAATACAAGATGAAACCTGGCTGCATAGTCAAACAATGTATCATATACAAGATTTTGCTACTGAAGGTTTAAGGACTCTACTTTATGGTCATAGATTTTTAGAGGAGGAAGAATATCAATTATGGAATAAATTGTATCAAGAGGCCTCCACCTCAATGAAAGATCGTCAACAAAAAATGGAAGATGTGGCAGAACTTATTGAGAAAGATTTAGAGATAACGGGTGCAACTGCCATTGAAGATAAATTACAAAGTGGTGTGCCAGAAACAATTGATTTGTTGAGAAAAGCTAATATAAGAATTTGGATGTTGACAGGTGATAAAAGAGAAACTGCTATCAACATTGGATACTCGTGCTCTTTGATAAAGGATTATTCTACCACAATCATCCTGGACTCGCATGTTAATCTCCAACAATTACTAAAACAAGCAATAAAAGATATACGGAATCGTAAGGTGCTACATCCTGTTGCCGTGGTTGATGGTGAAACTTTAATGAAGATAGAGCAAGATCCTGAATTAATTGAAAATTTTGTTGATTTGGGCATATTATGTGATGCGGTGATTTGTTGTAGAGTCAGCCCCAGTCAAAAAGCACTAGTTGTACATAGTATACGACAAAAATTAAAGCATCATGTTACATTAGCAATTGGAGATGGTGCAAATGATATTGCAATGATACAAGAAGCACATGTTGGTATTGGGATAACAGGAAAAGAAGGTTTACAAGCAGCCAGGTCAAGTGATTATAGCATAGCACAATTTAGATTCTTAAAAAATTTGTTATTAGTGCATGGTAGATGGTCTTATATTAGAAGTTCCAAATTTGTGCTAGGTACATTCTATAAGTGTATGTGTTTTTATTTTACACAAGCATTATTTCAGTATTACGTTGGATTCTCAGGCACATCACTTTACGAATCATGGACTTTGTCATTTTACAATACATTGTTTTCATCATTACCTGTGTTAGTTATTGGTGTTTTTGAAAAAGATTTGAATCAAGAGACATTATTGGGATTTCCCCAATTGTACACAATTGGTCAACGTAATGGTGCCTTTAATCTTAAATTGTTTTTTTCTTGGATGTGTGGAGCTATTTACAATGCATTTGTAATAGTTTTGATACCATTCTTTTTACATGGTCGTGATGTAAGAGGGACTGGTTCACCTCAATTATATGAATTAGGTTTAATAGTGTATACATGTGTGGTGTTCGTTGTGACCATTAAGATAGCATATTTAGAATGTCATAATTGGACAATAATCACACACATCACTTCATTTATAACGATATTTGGTTGGTTTTTATATCAGACAGTCTATAGTTACATTTATCCCAATAATTTTCATAGTACACCTTATGAGGTCAATGGAGTTTTTCGAAAAGTTAGTGTAAGAACTGAATTTTGGACCACTGTATTTTTAATTATTTTTTTTGCCATTGTACCAATTATGGTTGTAAAAGTCTTTAAATCCATCATACTGCCAACTGATGTTGATATTTATCAAGAAATTGAAAAGGATAAAAGATTATTGGAAAAATTGATGAATGAAAATGAATCTAGTGATGATAATAATAATGTTGGGGAAATGGTTAATGATAATAGTCAAAAAAAAACAAAAGACATTTAATTTAATCCCACATCCTCTTTTCTTCCTTCTTTGTTTTAATATTTATAATAGACGTTTTTTTAAAAAAAACACCCTATTGTATGTACATATCATAAAAAAATATTTGTAAAAGTTTTGATTATTATAATAGATTTTGGAAAAATTTATAACTTGTTGAAAGACAGGTTTCTTTCTATTCTTTGTCTACGTGGTTTTTTTTTTTTTATCAACTTTTAGGCCAATAATTCGGTGCTTGCCAACTAATTAGTTTACGAATTTTCGCTCACTGTCTCTTCCTTGTACCTAGAAAGCTTCGGCATATCTGTAAGCACACTCAATGGTACAGGATAACTGTAAATAGATAAAGATGGCTCTTTTACAAAGCTCAAAGTCATCTATAAAGCTTCCTTATGATCAATTACACTTGTTGACCCGCTTTAATTTATTTACAAAACAGTTTAAGCAGCTTGTTTAACCATCAGTATTTCCAATTAACCTTTGGACAATACTTGACCAATCGTTGTTAACGCTCACTAGTTAACCAATGTTAGTTTTAACTACTAAAACAAATAAAACGTGACTATTTACCAAAGAGCTTAGTTTTAAACGAAAAATAAAATAAACAAAACTAGTTTTTTTATTTTTTATTTACCGAATTTTTATTTTATCAGGATTTTGTGTATTTATCCAAGAACAAAGTTGTTTTAAGTTAATTGAATTTATATATATATATATATATATATATACACATACTGTATACTGTATATATAAATAAATGTATCAATGTTTGATATTTATTAGCATGAGAATAAAACAAACAGACTCACATCTATCTCTTCACATTATTAACCTTATATCAACAATATTTTCTTGACAAAATTCTAATTTCAAAATGCCATATGTCTCCCCAATGATGATGACCTAGAACAAACCTAATCAACATTGCCTAATAATTGCTGTGGTTAGTTTTAATATCAATTAACAAGAATTGATCAATTTATTAATTGATTGATCGATCGATTGATTGCGAATTTAGAATGACGATACTAATACTAATACTCTTGTACGTGAAAAATTCGCAATTCACATACGTGAATTTAAATTTACAGTGTGAAATTTACCAGTTAAAAAATTCCACGTGACTAAATTAACTGGTTAATCAGTTAACTCTTAATTTTAACGGTTAATTAACCGGTTAAAGAATTTTTGCGCGGTGACAACCTCTACTATGGATTGGGCTGTACCATTTTTCAATAGCAAGAACATTCCAACTTTTCTATCCACAGCTCCTGATCTTCCACACCTAAGGTCTCAAAGTGATGATAATCTTTTGCAGAAATTTACACATAAAAATGACAATGATGATGACAATATGGATATTGATGATGACCCTCCAAAGCATCTAATTTTTATGGAACAGGATAAAAAGTTCATAGTAACCTCATTAACTCAATCAATGGTTAGACTAATTCTATGGTTGTATAATGATCATTGAAAGATATGTAACTAGCCATGCATTTTGTTCAGATTCAGAAGATAGTAAATGACAATAATAATTATGGATCTATCCTCCTGAAATTGATGAAAAATTACGAAAACATGTAATTTTTATATTTTAAAAGAAATTTGTTGGTATCTTGTTGGTGTTATTGCTGATAAACGTAAAAGAGTTCTTGAGAGCATGCAAAATGAACATGTAGCAAATTTAATTAAGGGTTTGAAGATATAATATTGAAATGGTTTATAAGTTTTTGATTATATTTGTAACCCTAGAATGATCTTTTAATATTAGGGTATTTTCTGTTAATTGAGATTCTTTCATGTATCTTACTTTGGATTTTGGATATATGATTAGAACTTTATTCTATATTGGATTTTTTACGAATTTCAATTGTTAAAAAAAAAAATCAACAAAGCTTTTTATTCTTAATTAAAAAAAAATCCTTTCAAATATTAATTTTATTAGCAATTAAATAAATTTTTTCTTATCCAGATAATTCAAAAATAAAAATAAAAATTTCTATCCAGATCAAAAAAAAATTTGTATATATTGTTTGTTTATCGATAATTGAATAATAATAACAGCAAAATAAAATGTAAGGCGTTTTTAATCCTGGTATCGTGCCCGGAAATATACTAACACTAAGATTCCAAGGCAAGGTCATAAGTTTTTGTCATTTTGAACGGCCCAAAAAGACGAAAATCTAACGGTAGACAACAATAAACACGAGCAAAATAATCTAAAGAGAAATACGATTTCTTTTTAATCAAGTAGCTGCTTCGCTCAACATGACATTTTGAAAAATAACCACAGCCATGGAAAACGAAAATATTTTTGTTCAAATTTCAATTTTAACTTTACAAATTAATTTCAAGTCAGAGTATCAAAAAAAGAAAAAATCGACTCATTACCCTTTTACTTTGATTTTGATATCATCCGTAACTGCGCTGAGTTTACCATTTCAAGCCATCTTTACTTTTCCTCCTTAGCAGGCGAATCAATATTTTGTAAAGATTTTGGATATGTGGATGGACTTGATGTCGTATCAGGTGAATCAAATATTTCCCGTGCAACCAAATATTTCAAATTTGGTAAAAGTAACCGTAACGCGGAAACCTTTATGTATGTCAAAGGGAAATAATGTAACTGTTATTCTCAAAAAAAAAAAAAAAAACTCCACTCTATATTCATTAAAACACCAAGTCGAATTTTATATTTTATATTTTATATAATGTCATATGATAAACTGTTATCACCAGAAAGAAATGAATTTGTATATAAAACAAATGGTAAAATGTATAGTAGTGCTCTGGTTAATTCCGATAAAGAAAGTATAAAAGATTATTTTTTCTCATTGGTTGAAAAAAACAAGGAGCTTTCTGAAAATGAAAAAGAACATTGCAAGGAATTTTTTATATATCAGTTTGAATTAAGAAATGCAATATATAAAGAAGGCAAACCAAAAGAATGTAACAAATGTAAATCGACAAGATACTCTGATAGGTTCTGTGAAGGTTGCATTAGATTACAATTGCGGAGCACTACTTTGACATCTGGAAATAACATAATTGACGATTTTATTCAACAATGTCAAATGAAATCATCTTTGCCAAACCATATTTTAGAATGGATACCTTTTGAGCAATTTGAAAAAGTAACAAAATTGACTGAAGGTGGATTTAGTTCAATTTATACTGCAGAATGGACAAGAGGAAGAATAACTGATTATGATGAAAATAAAAAGGAATTTAGTTATTATGGTGCTCAAGATGTAGTATTAAAAAGTTTAAATAATTCAAGTAATCCAGGAAAAGGCTTTTTTGATGAGGTTAGTAGTTGTCATTTAAAACAATACTGTCTGCATTATATAATACTAATTGATTTTATTTATTTTCAGGCAGTGAATTATTGTAAAATTAATTCACAATTAATTATTCCTTGCTTTGGTATAACTAAATTCCCAGATAATGGAAATTATGTAATTGTTTTAAGTTATATTCCAGAAGGAAATTTAAGGGATTATTTACAAAAAAATCATTTAAATTTAACATTAAAAGACAGAATTATGATGTTTCAGTATTTATGTGATGCATTAAATACTATACATGAAAAAGATTTAATTCATTGTGATTTACATAGTGGTAATATATTATTGAAAGGAGGTTTTTGTTTTATTACAGATTTAGGATTATGTGGACCAGTTGATGATAAGTCATCAAATAAAGTCTATGGAATTATAACATATGTTGCACCCGAGCTACTTAGAGGCAAAAAGTGCACAAAAGAAACAGATATCTATAGTGTTGGAATGTTAATGTGGGAAATATTTGCAGGTCATCCGCCATTTGATGATAGAGCTCACAACTATTGTTTGATTTTTGATATATGTGAAGGTTTACGACCACCAATATTACCTGAAATGCCTGATGATTATGTGCAAATGATGCAGAGGTGTTGGAATGTGGATCCATCAGAAAGACCAACTAGTAAAGAGCTGTTTGATTTTGCCATGAATAAATTCAAAGAAATTACTAATGATAATAATAGCAATAATAATACTACTAGTAGTGGTAGTAGTGCTTTGCAACAAGCACACAAATCACATCCAGATGCATATCATAAAAGTAGAATATTAGATGAAGAGATTGCTAAATCTAAAAGCTTTAAAATTTATACAAGTAATGATAGTTTGTTAAGTAATCTTGATTTTAACTCTTTTCTCTAGAATGTTAACAAAGGTGAATAAAAATTTCATTATTAATCAATTGGAATTACTATCCATTAATCATTACTAACAATATTAATTAATCAATTAAACTCTAGTAAAGCGATGAATGACTAATTTAATCTCTACTATAAATTTATTATCTTTTTATTATCTTTTTATTTTATTCTTATTTTGTTTCTTATAATAATATTTCTTATAATAAACTCTACAATTTTCTGGTTCTTGTTAAATGGTGATATTGCGAAGTATCATTTTGGTTAATTAACAATTATGGCTTAACTTTTGGGCTATAGTTCGGTGCTTGCCAACTAAATAGTTTACGAATTTACTTTGGTTTTCAATTACTGCACCTAGATAAATCTGTGAGCACACTTGATGGTACCAGATAACTGTAATTAAATAAATATGGCCCTTTTGCAGTGCCATGAAGTTCCTTTTATTCACTTTGTTTCAGTTGTTTACACTTATTGGCCGATTGCAAACTCGCTTTGGTTTACTTGCAAAACAACTCAAGTAGCTTGTTTAACAACCTTACGTTTACGATTACAATAATAATATTATCAGTATTTCCGATTAACCTTTAGACGAAAGATACTTCATTAACACCCGCTATTTAACCAACGTTAGCCCTAACCTTGCTTACTTGCTTACAGAAACAAATAAACGTGAATTTTTACCAATGTTCCACAATTGTTATCTTTTACCAAGGCACTATTTACGCTTGTTGTTTTTATCAAAGCGCTTTAAACAAAGAAAATTAAGACAATGTTTTTATTTTTAAGATTAAATTTTATTTAATAAAAATAATGATTCTATCACAGAGTTTTATTTTTTATTAGAATGTTAATTATCTATTATTTTCCTCTGCAAGGACCAGAAGTTATCCTTAATGAAGTTTACGTTGATCACAATAAGGAAAATAATTTAATCAATCAATATTTAATATTGACATTATAATTATTTACACAGTAGTTTGATGATAATTATAAATTACATTAAAATTAGTCGACCCTGGAATATAAAGTACCGAATCCCTAGTCGATGATGATTTTTATCTAACCCGGATTATGTATCACGTTATAAATGTGTGTGGGAATTGAATTTGTAAGTAAAGTAAAAGAAAAACTTGGAACAACTGAAGAAACAAAGGAGATATTGAAATACATATGAAATATATATATAAAAAAAGATATTGGAAATATATATTTATAAATTTTTTTGAGAGCTTTTTATATTTTATTAGTCTTTAAAGCAATTTTACTTGCGTCACTTTTGACTTAATGGCAACGAATTTGACGTAGTAGTTTTACAACATTAATAATTATTGGTGATAGTGAACATTATATGAAAACCGTAAACTAAAAGGAGCGCTGGAGGATTATGAATGACAATGCAAGAATTGGTTCTTTGGTTGACATTTCTATACAAAATATTAATATTATTCTTTTTGTGCTGTGTAAAATTTTATTGTTCTCATATATACTTCAAAAAAATTCAGTTTAACAAAAGTCCATTCCAGTAATGACGATCTACAATTTCATACTATATAAATATGGACTTCTAGAAAAATGACCGAGAAGAGCTTCCTTTCCAAGGATCAAAAGGCAATGATTAACATGAATTTTTAACAGAAAAAAAAAAAAATCTAGAGAACAATTGAATTATATTGTGTATTTTACACTAACCGTTAAAGAATATTTTTGTAATACATTAATGTAATTAGTTGCACAGATTTAAATTTTTTTTTTTAATAAAATGTTAAACTTACCAGCTGAACTTTTAGCTGGAATATTTAAATACGTCAATAGTGATGATTATAAAACGTTATATTCTTGCATTCTAGTTAATAAACGATGGCACAACATTAACATTCTAACTTTATGGAGAGACCCGTTCTATTCTATAAAAAGCACTGAAATATTAATTCATTGTTTATTGAAAGAAGACAATGAATTCTTGGCAGAACATACTAAATTAAAATTCGAGCGGTTGGAAAAACCACCATTGTATAATTATGCTAAATTTACAACTGAATTAGATTTTTTAAAGTGTAAAAAACAAGTGTTTGCACTAATAGAATCTGATAATAAATACGAATGGGAAAAAAGATTACTTGACTTTATTTTGGATTATTCGACTATAAGAAAGCTTGACAAAATTGATTTGGAATGTAACGAGTTAGTTAATCATCATAGATTTGATACTTGTTTTCAGAATCTTTATGAAATAAAATGCAATTTTGTAAATGGCGCAGAATTATTTTTTGATAAACTAGCAAGTGCTTGTCAAAATATTCAAGTTTTAGAAATTAATCGATATAATCCTTCGTCAAATATCAATTATAGCAATAAAATTGATTATAGCATAACTCAATTAATTAAAGCACAAAGGAAAATCACACATTTGTATTTTTCTTCAAAAGACGATATAATTTTATCAGATGATCTCAAAAAAGCAATTTCACTTCATTCAAAATCAATAATAGATTATATATGTTTAGGGAACAATAATTTAAGCTCTTTACTAATGCCAACATTTCATAATTTAAGATCTTTAACATTATTATTTTTAAAAAATAATAATAATTTTAAATTGTTAAAGCCTAGTTTTTTTCCAAACATTGAATCTGTACACTTGGATATTAATTATCAGTCGTTTCTACTAGACTTGTCTAATTTCATTAAAATTAATGGAAAAACTCTTAAATTTCTTTTTATCGAAGGTAGGCCGAATGACATGAAATACTTGGGTGAACTGATTGAATCAATTGCTCAAAACTGTTACAACTTGGAAGATTTTTTAATATTTTATAAAAATGAACTAGACCAGCAGTTAAATAAGATTTTTAATAATTGCGTCAAGTTAGAATCAATCACATTTGGAAATAGTGGCAATTACACATATGATGGTGACAAAATATTAACAATTTTAAACCAGACTTTGCCAAAAAATTTAAAAATAATAACTTTTGAAGAAAAAGTCACTATTTCTGATGAATATTCACTGGAAATACTAATGAAAAATTGGAAAGGACCTAAGCCTTTAAAAATAGATTTACCTGAAAATCATGAATCAGTTTATTTATTGAGAAGATATCAAGGCCTAGGATTTTTAAATTATACATTTACTAAGAATTATTTATCATTATAAATATTAGTTGTACAAATTTATTACCATAATGATAATTATTATATTCTTGTATTCTAGTTAATAAACAATTGATATGGACAAACCCATTATTCTGATAACAGTAGTATTTAAATTAATAATTAAGAAATATAACGTTACAACTGAATTAGCTTTTTGAAATGTGGTAACAATCCTTTTTTTGGATAATAGAATCTAATGAATGCAAAAAAGATTATGAGACCTTATTTTGGATCATTCAATGCAATCTAACAAGTTGTGCTAAATCTAACGAAATAAAATTTGATAATCATTCATATTATATGTTGATTGTTATAAAAATTTAATCTTTATTCAAAACAAGATCCACTGTAACGAGCTTGAATGTACATTTGACCATTAATCAAAAAGATAATATCACTTACTTAAAGCATCCCTTCACGAAATGCTGATTTATCCAAGTCTTCAAACAACTGCTCTTTACGTTTGCCTAATATTGTCTCAGCATGATTATTATCAAATTTATTAGAGTTGAGAACTTGAGTGAAAGCAACAAAGCATTGCAATCAAAGTATTTCTATTGTGCTGTTCTTCTTTAAATATAATTGAAGTCACAACAATCTTGTAAAATAGGACCATTTGTGTGTGAGATCATCCATAAAGGCAGGTCTACAACAACTAATTCTTTGAACCTAACTAAACCCAAACGGGTATAATCTTCTAGAAGAATTTTTGTACCAGGAATAAGGTGATCTGATGATAACATGGAAGACATAATTTCACTTGTTTTAGTTTATCAGTAATCATAACAATCTTTAATGCTTTTAAAGCATGTCCATGTCCGTCCATGTTACTAACTAGTATGTTAATAATAGGATAATCAGAAAAACAATTTTGAGGCATAGATGCTTGTAGAGCAATAAATATTGCTAAAGTTAAATAAAATTCTCATAATAGTTTAACAATGCATCTTTAAATGTTTCCAGATCATACATAACCTTTGGTATTAATATATATTAGATATATATGAACATTTCCCGTGGAACAAACATTTTCCAAAATTGCAAACCGGATTTTTTTTGTTGTGATTATTATTATGCAGATTTCAGACAAGGATAATTTTTTCATGTCACTGCTATTTTGTAACTTTGACTTCCTTGATTTCCTTGATGAATTCCATCTATTTTCATGAATCAAATTAGAGACACCAGATTTATACGTTTGCATAATTTTTGCAAAATTTTGATTTTTTATGCAATGCATAGTTGACGATTTGTTACATAATTTGCATGTTGTCATAAAAACATCTGTTCATATGGATAGCAACAAGCTTTGCATTTCAATGAATTCTAAATCGTACAATGAATAGTAAGTACCAATTGCATTATAGTGAATTCACATAATATAAATTTAAAAAATAAAAAAGAACGAACATTTGATCCCAAATTTCCAAATAATAAAAAAAAGATAATTGTTATTAAAGAACTTTTGATCCAAATTTCCAAATAAAAAAATCCTACACAATTAAAAATTTCTTAAATTTTTCATGATTAAAACCTCTCAACAACAATCATCATCCATTAAAAAACATGTATATATCTGATTTAAAATTATTTGTTTTTAATGTAAGATTATAAAATTTTATTATAAAAATCATTTTTTAATAAACATAATAAAGGGCGCATAATCTACCAAATGTTGCATAATTTAATGTTTGTTTCTGGATAAATCTGGGGTCTCTAAATAATAAATAGCATGAATTAAGTTAAATGAATCCTTGTATGTGAGGGAAAAAAGCTTTATCATTGTAATCGTTATTATTTATTTGTTCATCTATTACGTATCCTTTTAAAACTAGTCATTATACTCCTGAACAGAGGTAAATCTGAAATTTTGGTTATGAATTGAAGATATATAAATAACACATCTCTTAACAAAATTCCTTGGAAAATCATTTATAATAATAATATCAACAACAAATTATTTCAAAATGCGTACTATCAACCCAACGGTGTCGCAGACTTCACAAAATTTAATTCGACCAAATTACAACTCCCTTTCCAAGCCTGATATCGCTTCTAACTTTCTAAACCAGCACTCTATTTTCAATGAGCTACTGGGAAAAAAATTTCTCTCACCAAAAAGCATTCCATTGAACTTGGAGTTTGATTGATTCATCGGCACATGCAAGTGGACAAAGGAAAAGTGATGGTCGAGCAATTCCAGTTTCGCGAAAACGAACCAGCCTTCATTACATTAGAAGATTTCCCAACTGACAGAGCTTATCCCGCGAGTTGGTTACTTGAGGATGATAACAAATTATCAGTGTTCGAGTATTCTACAGATCTTTTTGGTTAAAGATGTCCTCGAAAAAATCATTGAAAATCCAAGTATTTTCGTCAAATTTTGTGATTTAATCGGAGAATATCACTTTGGGAATTTACTTGCACCTTGCATCATAGCACGAAATTCATTGGAAAATTTTGAAAAGCGGACTGAATTTCTGGAAATTACTGATTTGAAGTCAAATGCTAGCAGTGTGAAGAGTGTGAAAGGTTAGGCAGAAGATGAACATGGATTAATTATTCCTACATTGTGGACGCATTCAGTGAATGATGATTGTTTTGGTGAAGAAGGTAAACGAGGTGCAAATGGCCGTGATTATTGTACTTATATTTGTAAACATAGTTAGTATAGTCATAATTAGGCGTGTTTCTGTTTTTAATTATTTATTTAAGAATCGTTTCTGTTACTCTGTATTGTTTATTCATTGTTTATATTCAAGCCAAGTAATAAATAATAACGTAACTTATTTGTATAATCTGGAGATATGCGTGCGGACCTTCATACATTGTCTCTTGAGTTGATCGCGTATTAGGGAATATCTCGGTTGTTGAATATTTAAAGGTGGGCCAAAAATACTTGCTGTAATTTTTTACGACAAAAATTTTCATGTTCATGCAAACAGTGTGAGCACCATGTTTTACATATATATATATTAAAGCTTGCGAATCGTTAATGTTTCTGCAAATCCCTTTGATTGGTACACGTGAGTTTATATTTCTTTTTCCTAAATGCATTCTCCTCTTCTATTACGCGTAATCTCTTCAACTCTTCATTTGTACATATATTGTATTACTTGAGATGAGGAGTTAAGTTGGTAAAGTGGTTTATTATAATTAAGAGAACCTTCAAGCGACCCTACTCTTCATCTATATCGTAATAAAATATGTACTTAATACAGTGAAGTAGTTAGTAAATTCAAGACTACGCCTCTGCTATGCGCAGTTTCAATATCTAACTCCTAAAGAATCAGGGTACAGTGATACATTTGTAATGTCTATTACATGACATAAACTTTTAGATACAATAAATGGTATTATTTTGATTTTAAACCTTATAAACAAAATGACGAATTTGCATAATAAAAATCTTTATTATAAAACAAGGTACAGTATATATATTCAATTATTTTCATGTTTTAATAATATTATTTCTAATTTATATAATTATTTTTTCTATTAAGCTCTTACTCAATCATTCTCAAAACCAATACTCCTCCATCAACTACTCAAAAACTTTCGCCAAATCTTTGTCTCAAACAAATATTTTCTTGACTAATTCTAATCAATTGGATAATGCACCTGCTTCAACAAGTATATCTGGTTTACAAAAACGAAATGGATACTTTGTCAATTTCTTAAGGAAATTTTCAGAATTGTACTATAAATTTGGATTTTTAAATTTTTTATTATTGTATATACAATGTACTGACATCATTTTGTGTCTAGAATAACAAGGCAACCAAAAATAGCTCAATAGTACATTTATACATACAAACAAAAAAAATAACATGTAATTTATTCTATAGTTGGCTTGGTCTAAAGACCTCCTAAGTTTTGCATAAATTTTAAAAGTATAGAAGTCACTTTCTGTCCTATCTTTTAAAAAAATA